CGATGACGGGGTCCACATGAAGTCCGGTGCTCCATTCGACAGGTTAAAACGAGTTATGAAAACGCGCGCCATCGCCGCGCGTGGCGGTGCGGCGAATTACGATCCTCTTTACCGTCTCCCCCCCCCCCCTCCCGAGAGGAGCTCCCAGCGTACAACGTGCCCTGATTCTGATTACAATATGGCATCACTGAAATTGAATTCTTGGGTTTTAAGCTTGGTTCTCACAGCTGGTACGCGAAAAGTCAACGTTGTACGCGGCGTCTCTTGTCATTACACCATTTCTACCATAGATCTGGCAAGAACATACTGTAGAAAGTTAAAGTGCGATAGGAACTCACAAGAGCTTCCAAGACGGGTAACAACTTCAAGTTTTTAATCTCGTTTATTTCACCATATTTCTCTGAATATTTTTCACAAGCAAGGCGAACCTAAAACAGCGACTTGAACGAGGCAATTCAAGGATTGATGAATAAAAGGGGAAACCCACTATTTGTAAGATTCTTTGAGCATCACGACACTCAAAGAACACCGCTTTTACCACGTATTCAACGATTTTCCTGCTGTATTCACCATTCAGAGCTTCAGCGATTGCATCGATACATTCCTCTGCAAACGGATAAGCGCGATTAAGCAGGAATCGCAGTTTTCACGAACAGTTTTTCAGTTTTCGCGTAATACGACCCCCCCCCTCAACAGTTCCTCCACGCGATACAGCAATCGATACGCGAAGTATAAACACGCTCTCATACATACTCGGGGCAGCGGACTGTCAGGAGAAGCAAAGGTTTTCAGCCAACTCCCCCGTGTCGCCCTTTTTGACCAATATACTTGCGCGTGTGCGTCTAGAGCTACACCCTCTTCAGCAGCGAAACTGGCTACGACTCTCAGCGAGGAAAGATATGGGGCGAAACAACGGGAATTTGATTTCGGACGAGCCAGCAGGATCCTACGCCCACTAAGTCCTTCGGAAACTAGCGACAAACACAGTTTCAGGGAAGGAAAAAGTGACCTGAAGTCCTGGCGCGGCAGATCGGCTAGCTCGACCGATATCACTCGGGCATTCGGCCCCAATAAAACAATTGAACAAAGCGAGGCGCAGTTCGGCTTAGGGGGACATTTTGCTGATTCCCATTTGGCAATGCCGCACCTCACACGAACACATGTAAACTCCTGTAGAGCTATCAGTTAACAACAGCCTTACATGTTCAGGTCGGTCGTGTGAGACGATGCAATTCAGAAAACAAGCCATAGAAACTAGCGAAAGTGCAAAAGGCAACCCCCAACCCTGAAAAAGGCCACTCCCCCCCAAGCCCTGAACCGAACAGTGTCCTAATTTGAGAGTACTTACTTTTGAGGAGTTACCCATTCCTTCACTAGTAAATGCCGCTTGGTTGGTTGCATGTATTGGCCAAATGTGACCACATCTACGTCATTACTTCGTAAATCAGCTAAACACTGTCGAACCTAAACCCTCTTCGTATAAGAAGAACACGAGCAGGAAAAAATCAACGGAGCTACCTCATCGTCTTGCTCGCCAAGACCAAGCATTATTGATGTTTTCGTGATAAGTTTAGGATTTGTTGTTTTAGCCCGTTTCAGTGCTGCAACAGAAACGATGTCATTGAAAGTAAAGCAATACAAACTGAACAGAAACATTGAGGCTAGGGGCTAACCTGCAAGGGATTGGTGATACTTCGCTCTTGGATCTCGAACCCATGGTGTTAGTCGTTCAACAGTCTCCACATTATGAGCATAGACGTCAAGGCCACTTCTGAATGAAACAAATCACGAAGGCGGTAACCGCATAATTGTTTCATTTTCTACAGAAAAGGACGACTGATGATTTATGTAAAGATTGCTGGGCGCAGTTAGGGGAGGGGGGGAGGACCGTGTGTCGATCGTCCATTAAACGACAGATCTTGTGAAACTTCTTGTGAAGACATGAAATAGAATGCGCAGTTGACTGGCATCTCTTGTAAAGATGAATATGGACGATCGGGAACGAGGGAAGAGGAAAGGCAATGTGCCCTCATAAGCCGAAATGGTCGATCGCTGAAATCAGTGCACATCACTGGTTGGGGATTTGGTCGAGTCCCGTACGACCCTTCTTTAGGGGCTTGGAACAACTCCCGCCCTTTGGGTCCGTTCTCATTTCGAACTGGTTCGATGCGACATACTCCCCTCTACCATTTCTTAGATTTTTTTTCTCAACTTCCACCACTTTTTCCGGAATTTATCGTAAATTCCTACTTTTGATACCAAAACATTTTTGCTATTCGAGCGGCGGGGGGTATATTTGGACACAGAAAAGCCGAAAACCCTGGAAATCAAAACTGTTCGGAAGACCACCAAATGACCCCCCCTTCACAACGTCCCTGAAACAAGGAAAATCAACTAGCAAAAAAAGTCTTCACAGCTCAAATACGACCCCCTCTCCCAGCGAATAATACGATTCCCTCCGTGGCGGAATAGATATACTATTGGTATATATGCATACTGACAAAGAAATGCATCACAACGCCATGCATATCCAAGTACTATTGCGGATACAACCAGCAAAATCAGGCAATAGACATTCGATCAGCAGTTCTGGCCTTTCCTTCTTCATAAGCTGGACAGTTTTGGAAAGATGACTTGCACCGCCATCTTCTACGTCATCTCTGAACGCGAACTCCAGTAGAATAACCTTCAAATACACCAAAAAGTAACTTTGAAACCTACCGATCAACTGAGGTGACAACGATGTAATATACATCGCCAATGATTTCACCGCCAACGCTGTTTTTTCCGGCTCCAGCGGATCCAATGGAGGTGGCTTTCGGGAGGTTTTTACTGAGCAGAACCTGCAAAAATAAAAAAGGTGAAGGAATATGGGTGAAGCTTCAAAACCGTGCTTTTGTTTACTGCTTTCTCTGCCTCTATAGAAGAACTAGAGGAATGCCTACAGAATCATTATAACATTACTCTTCTAAGTCAAATTTGTGCGCCAAAATCTACTTTTCCACGAATGATGGGCGCGGCGTCAGCTCTTTTCCCCGCGACTGCTGTCGCTTACCAGCTCCAAGAATAGATGCGGAACGGGGTTGGCGTCCTGTCGAACAGACGCTCCTGAACATCCCATCATCCGACAGCGAATAAACTGTTAAAATGGTTGCAGCATCCGAAAGCATTTCAAAAAAAAAACCATACATACAACTTCTAGTGCAGTTGATCACCCATTAAAAGGGCGTTAGCTGGGATAATGGCAATTCCTATCCGAGCTCCCCAGCATTCTCCCAAGTTTGGACACCTGAAGCAAGTCCAGAGAAAACTTAGAGAAAACAAACAAGGTTCAAACAGACCTTGCTTCTTCACAAACTGTGGCGAGCTTCAGGCCCTTTAGTTGCTTCTTTAACCGTGATACATTTTCGTTTTCACTGGGAAGAACCTAAAGTAGTATAGAAAACACAGGAAATATCCGAATCGTTTAGCTTGATGCCTTACCTTTTCTTTTTTTAACCAATCTGGTAACCGTAACCGACGGTCGCCTTTCTCGAGTTTCAACTTTCCGTGATATTTAGCCACGGCTTCATGGATACTACCTGAAAATCGGAAATCCCTAGACATGGTAAAGGCCACACAAAAGACGCTAACGTAGATGAGCTGAGCCAATAGTCAGCGTCTCTGCGACACTTCCCTTAATCAAGGCTTAGGCTCAGAGCGCAGACAGTCAGACTAAATGAGAACTGATCTGGCTCATGCGAGTAGGAGCGACATATGGCCGGTCTGCGTTCTGGGGTGAAGCCTCAGAAGAGGAAGGGTATTAAAGGCGTTTTCGTGTGTGCCTCAGCTTGCATACTTTGACACTAGGATATAAGTATGAACATCGAGCTCACCATGTGTACATACATCTCGCCGCGCATTTCAATCACGCGATCCAAGCGACTGGATCACGAAGTATGAACGGGTGTCTCACAATCAGCAGTGTGTGTGTGTGTCGCACCCAGCAATGCTGTAGCACATTAAAACAAAGGCGAGAATGATCCCCATTTACACCTTGCAACATAGGAGAATAGGAGAATCTGCGAAGATCACACGGCATGACGGCTGATCCCGCCCACCTGAGAATCGTGGAGAGTCCGACACGCATCTACTTCCCTTCAAGGTCACGTCGACAGAACAGACTTCCTTTACGTGAATTTGAATAACAATTTCTTTGTCGCTGGTATGAAAGCGGCCGAGTGGTAATAAAGGGAAAATGAATAGAAGGAACAAACCTGAACTAACAAAATCCGCGAAAGATGGCCCATCTTTTATCTTTGTTTTTGGCTCAGACGAAGATGCCGAATAAGCACGAATGGACTGTGCTAGTGGCCGTGTTCGTTGAAGCATTTCTAGAAGAAATCACAGAAGAAATGAAATAAAATGTACTGAGGCCAGCTTTTTGAACTGATAAAGCTGTCCGCAATATTACGGCAAGCTTTGGTGTAAAAATACGTAAAGCGAGCAGTTTCAAAACAATGAATACGCGGGAAAGCTGAATTGGCTGTTC